CACACCTATGAACACCTGATTTGTGACAAAGCAGCTGAAAGTATACAATGGAAAAAAGAAACCATCTTCAACAAATCCTGCTGGCACAACTGGATGCTGATCTGTAGAAGACTGCAGATAGATCCTTATCCATTTCCATGCACAAAACTTAGGTTCAAATAGACCAAAGACCTCAACATAAATCCAGCCACACTGAATCTCTTAGAAGACAAAGTGTGAGGTGCCCTAGAACAAATTGGTACAGGAGATCGCTTCCTGAGCATAACTCCAGTAGCATACCGAGATTGACAATTAATAAATGGGACCTCCAGAAACTGAGAAGCTCCTGTAAGGCAAAGGACACTGTCAACAAGACAAAACAGCAGCCCACAGGCTGGGAAAAGACTTTCACCAACCCCAAATCTGATAGAGGGCTGATTTCCAAAATATACAAAGAACTCAAAGAAGCTAGTTACCAAAACACCAAATAATCCAATTAAAAAGTGGGGTACAGAATTAAATAGAGAATTATCAATAGAGGAATCTAAAATGGCTGAAAGACACTTAAGAAAGTGCTCAACATCCTTAGCCATCAGGGAAATGCAAATCAAAACAACTCTGAGATACCATCTTACTCCTGTCAGAATGGCTAAAATTAGAAACACCAATGACAACTCATGCTGGAGAGGATGTGGAGAAAGGGGAACACTCCTCCACTGCTGGTGGGAGTACAAACTTGTACAGACATTTTGGAGATCAGTATGGCGGTTCCTGAGGAAAATGGGAATCAGTCTACCACAAGATCCAGCAATTCCACTTTTAGGCATATATGCAAAAGATGCACAAAGACATCTGTTCAACTTTGTTCATAGCAGCATTATTTGTAATAGCCAGAACCTGGAAGCAACCTAGATGCCCCTCAACTGAAGAATGGCTGAAGAAAATGTGTAATACCCAATGGAGTACTACAATGATGAAATTTGCAGACAAATGGATGGAACTCATCCTGAATGAGGTAACCCAGTCACAAAAAGATGAACATGGATCCTCACTCATATATGGATTTTAGACATAGAGCAAAGGATCACCAGCCTATAATTCACACTGCCAGAGAAGCTAGGAAACAAGGAGGCCCCTAAGAGAGACATACATGGTCCCCCACAGAAGGGGAAAGGGACAAGATCTCCTGAGCATATTGAGAACATGGGAGGAGGGGAGAGGGAGTTAGGAGGAAGAGAAGGGAAGGAGAAGAGGGCATGAGGGAGCAGGAAGATTGAGTCAGGGGAAGAATAGAGGAGAGCAAGGAAAGAGATTCCATAATAGAGGGAGCCATTATAAGTTTATAGAGAAATCTGGCACTAGGAAAATGTCCAGAGACCTACAAGGATCACCCCAACTAGGAATCTAAGCAATAGTGGAGAGGCTACCTTAAATGCCCTTCCCTAACAATGAGATTGATAACTACTTTATATGCCATCCTAGCCTGATAATGAGATTGATGACTACCTTACATGCCATCCTATAGCCTTCATCCAGTAGCTGATGGAAGCAGAAGCAGACACACACAGCTAGACACTAGCTGGAATCCAGTTGCAGAGAGGGAGGAGTGATGAGCAAAGGGGAAGTCCAGGCTGGAGAAACCCACAGAGACAGCTGACCTGAGCAAGGGGGAGCTCATGGACCCCAGTCTGATAGCTGGGAAACCAGCATAGGACCGACCCAGACCCCCTGAACATGGGTGTTAGTTAGAAGGCCTGGGCAATCTAAGGGACCTCAGACAGTGGAACCAGGATGTATCCCTGGTGCAGGAAAGGACTTTGGGAGCACATTCCCCATGGAGGGATACTCCCTTAACCTAGAAACATGGGGAAGGCCTAGCCCCTACCCTAAATGATTTGACAGATTTTGATGATCCCTCATGTTAGGCCTCACCCTCCCTGAGGAGTGGATGGGGAGAGGGTATGGGAGGGAGAGGTGACTGTGATCGATATGTATTTTAAAAAACGAAGCCAGAGGCTGATTCACGAGAATCACTGGGCATTGACCTCTGGCCTACAGATACACGTGTGCCCAAATCTTCGTGCACAGGTCTGTGCAAAGGAGTATGTACCCAGCACTTAGATGTAACAAAGGCCAATCCGCAGAGTGCCCACACTCAGTTAACCCAGGCATCTAAAATATGGTCTTTCAGGAAGGAAAACCTTCTAATTTTCAGTCTTTACTTCTGAGGCCTGTCACCCAGACCACCTGTAAGTGCTCAGCTGCCTCTGTTTCTGTTTTGGAGTGAGGGCTGCGGCTGGGCGACATGTCCCGATTTGTCCTGGCAGAGCCCTGATGCTCATCTCTTCTTGGCCTCCATTCTGAGATACTGACAGAGGGGCCCGGTGTGGTGGGAGTGTGTGCTTTGGCAAGTGTTTTTAACTGTGGACCTAAGTTCAGCTCTGTGGTTTGGTGAATCCCGGGAGCCTTAATTTGCATACTTATGAAATAGAGTGTACGCACCAGGTGTGGGAACTTCGAATGCCCAGGTTGGAGGCGCAGGTTCAGTGAGTGCCGTCAGGACAGCTGTTCGCTGGTGGAATGTGAATCCCTATTTAATATGCTTTGAAGACTGTTCTGTGTGGAGAGGGCCTGTCACTACAGCCCGCTTCTCCAGGGGGAGTAAACACCTGTTAGAGAAGGACAGGGCCCCTGTAACTGTGTGGGGGTCGTCATGACTCCTTGTCTAAGGGACTGTGAGTGACAGGGGCCGCCCCCTTCATCTCAGTGTTGAAGGTCCGTGTCTTTGCAAAGCCATCAAGCAAACGGGAGCCAACGCGTGCTCAGAGTTGGTGGTTAAGTCAATTAACAGAAGTGAGTTTGTGTCGAATCACTATGCGTCATGAGCTTCTATCCTTGGAAACGTTGTACACTAATAATTAGGTAGAAGGAAAGGCGCGTGCGTGGAATGTTACGCGCTACTAAAGTACAGATTTAAGAGTAGAGATAGCAGAAGGCAGGCAGTAGCGTGGGGGTGGGGTAACTAAGACAATGGTGGAAGCTCAGAGGGAGAATTAGGCACACATCCTGTAAAAGAATGGCCCAGGCCATCTCTGACAGAGCCATCTGACCTCCTGAACCTGTGTCTTACAGGAACAGGCCAGTGGAGCCTTCTCTTATTCTTGTGAGAGCTTAGTGAGGCGGGAAGCGTCTCCCTGGCAGACAGGGTGGTCCTTCTGTGGATGTGGCTGGATGTAGGCTACACACAGAGGCTGGCTGTAGGCTGTGCACAGAGGCTGGCTGTAGGCTACGCACAGAGGCTGGATGTAGGCTATGCACAGAGGCTGGATGTAGGCTATGCACAGAGGATGGATGTAGGCTATGCACAGAGGATGGATGTAGGCTATGCACAGAGGATGGATGTAGGCTACGCACAGAGGATGGATGTAGGCTATGCACAGAGGCTGGATGTAGGCTATGCACAGTGGCTGGCTGTAGGCTATGCACAGAGGATGGATGTAGGCTACGCACAGAGGCTGGATGTACGCTATGCACAGAGGCTGGATGTAGGCTATGCACAGAGGCTGGATGTAGGCTATGCACAGAGGATGGATGTAGGCTACGCACAGAGGATGGATGTAGGCATAGCGATGACATGGCCATGAGCGTCCCGCCCATTGTCCGGGGCGGGGTCAGTAGACCGCTGGTTCCCAACAGTTTTGGACTCTTTCAGACTTATTTATTTATGTTTTGTGGGATAGGGTCTTACTCTGCAGCGCAGGCTATCCTGTAACACGCCACATTTAGCCCAGGCTGTCCTCGAACTTGTGGTCATCTTCCTGCCTCTGCCTTACAGGCAAGTCGAGTCTTGTCCCCTCTCCTCCAGTGCCAAGACCTGGAAGTAGACACTAACATGGAGGTTAAGTGCCTGTCTCTGTAAAGACGCAGGGTGGGAGAACCAGACAGACTTTTGTGACATTTGTCCTGAACCCGTGAGGTTGCTGTGAGGGACCGTTGGCCTAGCTTGAGCGAAAGCATGGTGATTCTCGTGAAGCAGGTAACAGAATAATGAAGGCAGAATTTCGGGAGGATGGAGATGGGGTCCGAGATTTGTGATTTCAAGTTGAAACCCAGCAACGGGAATTCAGCCATTAAAGGACACTGTTGGGTGTTTTTTTTTTATCAACAGGCTAGATTTGAAGTCTGGATGTGTAGAGCTCAACAGACAAAGCTGAACACAGATCTTCGCCTGTCCCTTCCCATTGGTTTAATTAGAACCCCTACGCACCCCTTGCGAAGCCCCAAATATAGAAGTTATATTTTATCTTCCTGCCTTTTTATCTCCCCAACCTTCATGTACACAAAGCTGTTCTCCCCTGGGCCATGCCCAGACCTCCTCTCCTGGGCTCTACCCTCTCTATGCAGGAAAGCACCACCTCCCCCCAAGGCAGCCCCCGCTGGCCTCTTACACGTGGCGGTGGCCCCCACAGGCCCTTCCATCCCGTCTTGCGCGGCTGCTTGCCACAGTGTGGGCTTGCTCTCTTCCACGGGGTGGTGGTGCTGGCTGCTGCCGCTTCCCGCCGTGGGTCCTGGGCACTGGGCAGTTCTGTGGGAAGTTTGTCTTTCCCCGGGTTCACCCCCCATCCAAACCGCTGCTCCCTCCCGCTGCCTCTCAGACTTCAGCCCAGACTTCTGCCTGTCAGACTCTGTCCCCGACCTCACACAAAGAAATCGCGTCTCCAGAACTCCATTCTTTGGAGCCTAAGCCTCAGCTTTGTTTAATTCTAGCTCAGCTTGCCCATCTCTCCTACAAAGCAGAGACCTGTGCTGGCCTGCTCACTGTCTTCCCAGTAACCGATGCTGCGTACAAGAATGTGATGGATGCCTTTGAGCCCGAACCTACTGCTTAGCCGAGCGTGGGGAAGTGAAGTGCGTGGGTGCCCCCTGCCCGGGGCAGCCACTGTCACGCCTGTGCTAATGACCTTCCTTCCTCTCCTGTCCTTGCTCTGGAGTCTGATGGCTGGCCCTCTCTTTCCTCACAGCCGGCCTTGCCAGCTTCCTTTTCCATCCACGGTGCAGCAGCATAACCCCATGTCCTCTCAGACTTCCTCCGCCGGTGGGCCTCTGCACTCCGTCTCCCTGCCTCTCCCGCTTCCCATGAGCCTGGCGGCTCCACAGCTTCCGCCGGCCTCCCCCAGCCAGCAGCTCGGACCAGACGCCTTTGCGATTGTGGAGAGAGCCCAGCAAATGGTGGAGATCCTCACAGAAGAGAACCGTGTGCTGCACCAGGAGCTTCAGGGCTGCTATGACAACACCGACAAGCTTCACAAGGTACGGGGCATGCTGAGGTAATTGGCAGGCCATGGGAAGGAGGGCTGCCATTGGCCGGGCACCATGGGATGTGTGGGTTGCATCCTGAGCACAAGAGTGCCCATAGAGGTCTCGGGAGTCCGAGGACCTGTCTTCCTGCTTTGAAGCAGTTCAAAGGAAGGAGTATCCTTGGCGGCCGAACTGTGAGCACAGTTCATGACAGCTGTGGAGGAAGCAGGAAGTCCTTGTTGAGGAGGGAACAGAGGGCCAGCTCCTGGATAAGGGAGAAAGAATCCCACGGTCCCAAGGAACCTGGCTCGCTTAGCTCCGCCCTCTTTAGATAACACGTCTGTTCCAGGGAGGGACTGGAAACATGGCTCTGGCCTGGTGGTGACAAGTCTGATGGCACAGACTCTTCTCCACCATGGCCTAGGGGTCTGCCTTCAGCGGTCACCCTAGTTTCCAGGAGTGCTGGTCTCCTACTGCTTTTCTTTTGAATTCCATTCATCTAAAGAACCTGTCGGCTGGCTTACAAAGTAGCGGATGCCACCCTACCGTTTCCACACACTATGCGTGACGTCCTTTTACCCCATTGCACGTCCGTGTCCCCCTGCCAGGAGTCCCTTCCTCATCCCAGTCCCTTCAGATGTCATTCTCTACACACATATATTTAAAACCCAAAAGGGAACTGGAATCAGCAGTGAGCAAAACCATATCCATGCTTCTTTATAGCCGAATGAAGCGGTGCTGCGCATTAAATCACGTTTTCTTTGTGCATTTGTCTGTGGGATGGGCACCTGGGCTGGGCCCATGTCTCGGCTGTCATCACATCCAGTCTGCCCCACGGAACACAACCCTGTGCGAGGCTGCCGTTGTGACAGTGACAGTTACTTGTTGGATCTGCCTTCACAGTAGGTTAACGGCTCCGTTGTTACTATTCTTGACCTGGTAAAATATGAACAAACACACTCGCACCTACAGTGGCAATCCCATCACAATCCCTCCATATGCAGAGGCTTCCACTCACATCTGTTTACACTTAGGTTCAAGTGCATTCGTTCCCTGTGAGCTGGTTCCGACAGCACTCAGTGTGAAGCCCGGCCTGGCTCAGACACAGGAGCACCATCTCTGAGAGGGTCAATGGGACCAGAGCCTACAAGTCTGAGTTTTTCCCCACCCTAAATCTTTCTTTCGTGAAAGTGGAACTTCATTAATCATTATAAATGATTATACAGAGGCTGGAGAGATGGCTTGGTGGTTCAGAGTGCTTTCTGCTCATGCAGAGGGCCTGAGTTCCCAGTACCCACATTGCATGGTTGACATCTTCCTGGGACCTCAGCTCTAGAGGATCCAACGCCCTCTTCTGGACTCCTTGGGTACAAACACACACCATCACCGTCATCACCATCACCATCATCATCACCATCATCATCACCATCATCACCATCATCACCATCATCATCATCACTGGACTCCTTGGATGCACACACACACACACCATCATCACCATCACCATCATCACCATCATCATCATCATTGGACTCCTTGGATGCACACACACACACACACACACACTATCATCACCATCACCATCACCATCATCATCATCGGACTCCTTGGATGCACACACACACACACACACACACACTATCATCACCATCACCATCATCACCATCATCATCATCATCATCATCACTGGACTCCTTGGATGCACATGCACACACACACACACACACTATCATCATCATCATCATCACTGGACTCCTTGGATGCACACACACATACACACACATATCACCATCATCATAAATATTTTAAAAGGGATGTTTGGCTATTCACCCCGCCTCCTGTTAGTACCGAGACTTTACTGGGTGGTGTTAGAGCACGTGGCCAGATTTGAGAGACTGTCGCTCTTACAGGTCAGGAGGAGTGAAATGGAGCATATGCGGAAACGGGGCACAGAAAGGCGTCCGTGAAGACGCTGCCTCATACCCAGGGAGCCGTACAGCCTGTGTCACAGAGGCCCTGTCACAAATGCCACTTTAACGCTAGGTCTTTCTTACAGTTTGAGAAAGAGTTGCAGAGGGTTTCAGAAGCCTATGAGAGCCTGGTCAAGTCCACCACCAAGCGTGAGTCGCTAGACAGAGCAATGCGAAACAGGCTGGAGGGCGAGATCCGGAGACTTCATGACTTCAACAGGGATCTGCGAGGTGCGACTGTGTGCTGCCAGTGTCAGGTGTCTTCCATGGCATTTCTCCACCTTATTTTAAATTCCGTTACAGGCATGTGAGCGTGCGTGCGTGCGTGTGCGTGTGTGTGTGTGTGTGTGTGTGTGTGTGTGTCTGTATGGTGTCTGTGTGTGTCTTTGTGTATATGTCTATATGTCATGTGTGTTTGTGTGTGTGTGTGTCTTTGTGTATATGTCTGTATGTCATGTGTCTGTATGGGGTGTGTGTGTGTATGTCTTTGTATATGTCTATATGTCATGTGTGTGTGTCTGTGTGTCTTTGTGTATATGTCTGTATGTCGTGTGTGTGTGTGTGTCTTTGTGTATATGTCTGTATGTCATGTGTCTGTATGGGGTGTGTGTGTGTGTATGTCTTTGTATATGTCTATATGTCATGTGTGTGTGTGTGTCTTTGTGTATATGTCTGTATGTTATGTGTGTGTGTCTGTCTTTGTGTATGTCTATGTCATGTGTCTGTGTGTGTGTGTGTGTGTGTGTGTATTTGAGAAAACTGTTGAGGGTTGTTTTGCTCTGCCTTGTTGAAGCATGGGGCCTCCCACTGTTTCTGCTCTACTCCATGCTCCAGGGTAGCTGGATGATGAACTTATAGGTGACTCTCCTGTCTCTCCACAAGAGGACTGCGGTTGCAGAAGCAAACCGCTGCATCTGGCTTTTTTGTGGGTCTGGGAATTGAGCTCAGCTAGTCTGGCCTCCATGGTTAGCCTGTTTACCTGCTGAGCCCCACCCTACCTTTGTACAGAGAGCTAGCTGATATAACTAGGCTGGCTGACCACCAAGGCCTCCTGTCTCTACTCCCCAGAGCTGGATGGCAGAGGCATACCACCAGATGCAGCTCTTACATGAGTGCTAGCATCAAACTCAAGTCATGCTATGCAGAGTGAACCTTGCTGACTGAGCCCATTCCTAGCCCCACAAGGGCTTTCTTATAACTTGGAGCATACCCCCAGACTGCTCCATCTGGGCCCCTGGCTGATGGTGTCTCTCCCCATATTCCTCTGATGTGTGATGACTCAGGCTCATTTCTCCTGTGTTTGTAGATCGACTGGAGACAGCCAACAGGCAGCTAACCAGCAGGGACTATGATGGCCATGAAGACAAAGCTGCGGAGGGCCATTACATGTCCCAGAGTGAGTCTGTGTGTCTAAAGACTTCATCTTTAATACACAGGAGACCGAGGGGAGGGTCATACTGGCTTCTCTTGGGTTTTGCGTTGTGTCCTTTCTGTGAGGTAATTTAGCCTGTGATCTGCAGTCCTCAGATGAGAGTCTCCTCAGTCAGGGGCAAAGCCAAGGCTGACAGACCTCAGTGGTGCTCAAGCTGGCTGTCTCTGTGTCGGCTAGTCTTCTTGTGGCTGTGACAACCTCTTCGACTAAAAGCACCATATTGGAGGAAAGGTTCATTTTAGCTCAAGGTTTGAGAACACAGCTCATTCTGTGGGGAAGGCATGGCAGTGGGTGTGTGAGGCTGCGTGTTTATAATAGGGTAGATCAGGGAGCAGAGAAGAGAACTCTGCCACTCAGCTGGCACCCCGGTACACATTCACAGGGGGCTTCCTTGCTGAGTTGTTTTCTCTCTGTAAGTGCCCAAAGCGTTTCTTAACCTATTGGAGCCGATCTCCAGCTCCTTGCTCGTCTATCACCACACACACACACACACACACACACACACACACACGCATGCACACACACATACATATACACACATGCACGCACACATACACACACACACACACACACACACACACACACACGCACGCATGCACACACACTCCCAGGAAGCATGGTACTTCCTGGACTCACCATTTCAAATAAATCATAACCCTTTTCAGGTTAGGACATGCTTCTTGGTGGTACCACCTCTCAGGTGGTGTTCTGGGCAGGTCAGGGTCTAGCCAGGCTGCTGCTTTTGCTCACACACCCATGTGAACCAACACACCCCATGTGAACCAACAACTACACTTACTCATGCTTGGTGTCCTGGAAGCCTCTCTGTTCACTTCATTTAGGAGTAGGGACAGTGTCCTTGTAATTCTCCAGATTTATTGGGAACATATTTTATTAATTTTGCCAGAGGCAAATGATAGCATCAAATGGGTTTGAAAAAAACCACCAGCCAAGATTTGAATTTTTGCAAAATCATTGCATGAGCCAGAAATGTAGAATTCCTACTGTCATATTTTTAGAAGATGTTTAGAAAATTGTATTCTGGTATATGTCATAATTCTTAGCAACATCATGAGTAAATGCTCAAAGCTTAAAGACAATCCAAAACAACAAAAATGAGCATATCCAAGAAGTAGCCATCGTCTTCTCATAATAGTATCCTGATATATGGATTTGTCAAAGCCCTCAATTCTTAAGACTGAGAAATAATTTTGTAATTTTTGGTAGTTTGGCTTAATTTCCTTTCCAGCTCCCAAAAATGACTCATGATTGGATCCAGTTTCAAGCCCCATCTTTATTTAAATTGCATGCTTTGGCAAAGGTCACTGATGCTAGCCACATTGCTTTGCAGTCTGGCAAGAGATGGTTGCCATGTGCTTCAGAGTCAGAGACTGCTGTGACTCTTTGACCTTTTGGCTCTTGCTCTACAAAAAGAATGTGTCTGTTCATACTGATGACTGTGTTTGCTGTCTCATCTGAGCTTGCGTAGGAAAGTGGTACTGACTGGTTTTATGTCAGCTTGACGCCAGCATCATAGGAGAGGCAGTGGTCACAACTGAGGAAGTGCCTCCATAAGGTCTGTAGACTTGTCCTGTTTAAGGTCCTATCCAGACCTCCTTCATCATGGTGTTTCGTCTCAGCAATAGAACGCCTAACTAAGACAGAAGTCAGGACCTCTGATATTTGCATGGACAGTGTCGACATCTTCCTTTTGGATGTCTGTGTGCCATGACAGAGGGAGACGGCCGGTTGTGCCGCTAGGGTCCATCACACAGTTCATGCCATGCCATGAGCGCCAAGGCTTTTGCTCACATTCTGGTGTGAGCTCACATTCTGAAGACTTTCATGTCTGGCCCAAAGCTGAAACATCAGCAGTCAGGCATGGAGACCCTTCTAGATTTGTAGGGGATGACTCGTTCTGCACAAACATGCTGTGCTGGCCTTCAAAGGCACAGAATAGACAACACAGGCGTTTTCCAACTGCTTAGAGGTACTCCAAGTTGATGTGTTAGGTGACTGAGTGTAGTCAGGGCATCTCCGACAGGCTTGGTAATGGCGCCCTTAACCACTCTACCTGTGTGGAATCTTCTTCACAGTGCACCGTCCACTTCCTTCAGCGTTACCAGGGTTAAACATGTTTGTTCTTCTGGTGTGGCTAAGGAGTGGACCCAGGATGCTATTCCACATTCACGTGGGACTTTTTCCTTAGTGAACCCTGAGGACTTTGGAATGCTGAGAAAATTACCCCCCTCCCAGTTATAGTGCGGATGTCCCCAGGGTCTGCACTTGAGAGCACTGTGCATGTATGGTGCCTTGACTTAGGTGTCCCCCAATCTCAGGAATTTGAGGACTTGGTCCCCAGCTAATGGCGCTGTTTGAGAGACTCAGGAGGTGAGGGCCCATTGGAGGAAGTATGTTAGCAGAGTCAGGCTTTGAGAGAATTGGCTTTCTCGGCTTCCTGCTTGTAGTTTGCGATGCTGGCTCTCAGCTGATCCTGCCCCCATGCCTCCCTCCTGCAGCCACAATCGCTGCTATGATGGACTCTTGACTCTCTATAATAAACTCTCCTAGAAGTTGCCTTGGTTGTAGTGTTTTATCACAGCAATAGCAAAGTAACCAATACAGCATGTTACTGGAGTGAAAGTGATCTATCTCATCTAGCTGCGAACCTGCAAGCTACAGTGACAACCTGCCTGGCAAAATTAGCCCACAAATGCAATAGCGGCATTACATGTTGTGGAAGCAACCAACCACTCTTAAAATTTAGATTTAAGGCCCACCCCACAAGATTAATCCATCCCTGACACTGTTAATGAGGCCAAGAACATGTGCTTAGACAGGTAACTGACCCTAGCGGACAGCCTGCTAAAAGAACAGTGCAATAAAATGGCTCGTGACGTCATCTTATTGTACCCATAGGTCAGTGCGTCACTCAACCCTCGTCAGAAAAGCTTCTCCTTACGTAGGTGGTGACTGATTACGGCATCCTTTATCTTACAGATTTTTTAAGTAACTGTACTTAACGCCTTCTCGGTTTTATGTCATGGTTCATCTTGCTTTTAGTTTTATGCCATATTAGACATAAATCTAAGTTCAAAACGCTCTCCAACGGGGTATTCTTAAAAGGTGAGTGTGATTCCACTGGTCATGTGTCATGTTTTGGAAGCCAGCTAGGTAGGCAGCGTAGATGTAGATAACAGCACCGCTGTCAGTAAGGCAGGTGCTGGCCTTCTATGTACAGAGGCCGGGTTCCATTCCTAGCAGCACACACGGGAAATCCCAGCATTCATGAGGCGCAAACAGGAGGATCCAAAGTTTAGGGTGACCCTCAGCTACGTTTCATATTCAAGTGTAGCCTGAGGGACATGAGATACAGTCATACACACATGAGAAGAGAGAGAGAGAGAGAGAGAGAGAGAGAGAGAGAGAGAGAGAGAGAGAGAAAGAAAGAAAGAGAAGGAAACAGGAAGGAAGGAGGGAGGGAGGGAGAGAGAGAGGGAGGGGGAGAGGGAGAGAGGGAGGGAGGTCAGCTCTGAAGGGTCTCTGACAGTTTCACCTTTTACCCCAGTGCATCCTGGGGGTGAACACAGAGCCCTTGTCCTGGAAGTCTTGATGTAAAGGATGTGATTTACCCCCTGCAGTGAACAGACAGTGGGAGACTCAGGTCATCCCAGGTGACTTCTGGTGGGATTCACATGCCATGCTCTTACTGCATTGGTTTTTCCGTTCACATTCACTGATGACAACACATCCTCTTCAGATGTTCCTAGTGGAAAATACAGACAAGAACAGAGTTTAGATTCTTTTAAAAAGTTTTCTCAAAACATTTGTGAAAGCAAATGCCCCCTCACCCCCCGCCACCGCCACTGCCCAGTAACAGAAATTGGATACAATATATGAAGAGAAATTTCATACCCTGTCCCTTCCAGTTGGCTTTTGGAACTGTTTTTAGTTCATGAATTACAGTGGGAGTCGCAGCTATATCTCAGTGGAACCAGAGAACTCTGGAGAGGCGAAAGATTTTAAGTTGGGAGAACCTGTGTTTGCCGTGAAAAACAAATGCGCATTTGCCACTGGCTTTCTTCTTGCTTACAAGGGAAAGGACAATAAAGTACCTGTCCAAAGGGAGCTACACAGATGCCTGGGAGGTTCCAGAAATTATAAGGAGAGAGAGCACACCATGCTTTCTCCCTAATCAGCCCCAGCATGGGGTACTTTTCCCCCCAAATTGACATTCTCCAAAGCTTCACCTTCTAATCTTCATGCCAGGCTCTGGTGTACCATCTCCCCTCAAAGGGGACTTTTAAAAGCATGACCCTAATTCACGTGTGGCTGTGCCTTCAGTCCCAGCGCTTTGGAGGCAAGCAGATCATTGGGTTTGGGCCAGCCTGGTCTCTAAAGTGGGTTCCAGGACAGCCAGGGATGCACAGTGAAACTCTGTGTCAAAAAACAAAAAACAAAACAAAACAAAAACAGTAAGAAATAGGTAATAAGAAATAAAATAAGTAAGCAAGTGAGCTCTGGTTTCCACTTCCCAGTTTGCCGAGGGGAAGATAAGGAGCCTGTGTTGTGCAAAGCTCCTAGCTTGGTGCCTGGGATGTGGTAAGCCTCCACAAATATGTATTGCTTTGTTAGAAGTAGTCAAACGTTTACTAAGCATTGCATCCCCCAAACAAGCATCTCTGGTGGTAGTTTTAGCCCTCATATGGTCCTACAAAATATATCTTGTTAGTTTCCCGGGTGGCATTGAGTGTCACGAGCTGACGTCATATGTTCAAGCCCTACTTTACCTCCTGTCAAACCAAGCTGTCCCCGCTTCAGAGCCCATGGCACAACTGGTTTTCACAGAAATCACTTGGGAGCAGATATTCTTCTGGTCAATGGGACCAGAGTCATTGGTGAAAGGAGCCCTTCCCCCACTGAGAAATCAGACCACTGAAGGCACGGCCTGTGCATGCCCTTGCCTCTTCAAGGGATTCTCAGCATGCATTGGAGTTCAGTCAAAGCCTTACTGCAAAGCTGGCCTTTCTTGATATCCATCCCAAGATGCTTTCCACCAATGCTGCCTCCAGGCTGCCTAATAAATATTTGCCAATGGACAGGTGTGACTGTGGTTTGATCTGTTTGGAGAAATACAGTATGAGAGTTGTCTTTGCACTGATGGGTTGGGTTGTAATAAGGTGATTGTGTAGTCATCTTTGTGCAGTTACATGGGCAAATCCATGGTTACATTAGCAGGACATGAGTGCAAATTCTGTCATTCTGTCATTCCCCACTAACAGGGTCATTTTTGTGGTTATTTATGGTTTCTTGGTGTTATTTCCTTCAACTGAAAAATAAGAATAGTAATGACTCCCACCTCAAACAGTAAGCCTGGACGGTGTGATGTAATGCAAGCATGGGCAGATACTATTGTAAGTATCACCTTGGATCTCCCTTTGAAACCATGTGATCGAACACACCACTTCCTGTCAGCAGGCCAGAAGCTCAAAGCCTGTGTGAAGGCTACTTAAGGATAGTCCCGCTCAAGTCTAAAGTCCATGAATTCATGACGCTCTTCCTGCCTCAGTTTCTCAGGAATTATAGGTTCGCACAAAGCTCCCTTTTTGCTTACTTGATTTTTTTTTTTTTATTTTGCAGTATTTTTATTGTGTGGCATCATGCACTTGTAGAGATCAGAGGGCAACTTGTAGGAGTTGGTTCTCTCGTTCGTGTTGGTCTTAGGAATCGACTCAGGTCATCAGGCTTGGTGTCAGAATCCTTTTGACAGGACTATGGGGAGACTTGGGGCCCTTCATAGGAGAAGTGAGTCCAGCAGCATTGGGGCTGTGGGCTCTTGTGTATACTTTCCTCTTCCTTCATGCTATGCTGGTACCAAGCCTAGGACCTTGTGCCGGCTTAGAACGTGCCGTCCCACCGACATGCGATTGAGCGCTTGGGAAACCCGTCCCAAGTAGAGCTAGGGTGGGTTTGAGGAAGGGCTCACTTCATTCACCCTCCCTTGCTGCCAAGTCGCAGCAACAGCAGCTCACTGCCATTTGCATGTTTTCTTATTCTCAATCCATGCCAGATGCAGCCTGGCGATGATCCTGAGGCCGAGTACTTTCTGATGGAGCTTTTCCTGGTTTTTTATTGTTCATTTTTCTCCCTTCCAGACAAAGAATTCTTGAAGGAGAAGGAAAAGTTGGAAATGGAGTTGGCAGCAGTGCGGAATGCAAGCGAGGACCATCGGAGGCACATTGAGATCCTGGACCAGGCTTTGAGCAATGCCCAGGCCAGAGTGATCAAGCTGGAGGAAGAGGTAAGACCAGCATGGGGAGGGACAGAGGTGAGAGAGAGGAGAGCTGTGAGGAACCCCCCCCCAGGCAGCATCCGCGAGACAGTAGACGGCACATGGTTCGAGAGCCCCCAGCCTGTCGGAAGGCAGATGCCCAGGGCTGCAATGATTGGCGGGAGCAGAAGCCGCCGATGCCCGCAAAGAAGAGCCTGGCCTCTGCCAAAGGGGGTGTTGTGCTTGTGTCTTACGCTCCCAATTCTGAGGCAAAGGATTGGTTTGTGGGGTTGGGCTGGTTGTCAGCTGACCAACCTTCTAGGTTGGTCATGCCGGACCCCACCCCCTGAACCTAGGAAATGCTGGTTTATCAGTTGTGATGAAGTCAACTGTTTAGCTTAGCTTTGTCATTCCATTGATTGCCCCATTTACCCCAAGAGAGGAGGCAGAACAGTCATGTGTAGGGTTCAGGCGGGGGCTGTAAGCTGAGATAGGAGGAGAGGTATTACCCACAGGGCTTCACCCTTACCTTGTGGCCCCTACAGAGGTGGCTGGCATCCCGTGATGGGGCATCCTAAGCAGACATCATCTTGGCCAGTAGTGCCAGGAACTCCGGAGGACAGCCAGAGAGCATACCAATACTTAACCTGGCACTTGGCACAGGAAGCCAACCTAGGACGACCTGGCAGACTTGCACAGCAAGCACCTACTCAGCCATCTTGTCAGCCTTTCACTTAGTGAAGGCATCTATGGGCATTGAAGATGTGACTGATCACTGCCGTGGCTCCTCTCAATAAGTCCTAAGCACCGTCATGGTCTTGTCTTGGTCTCACTTTTGTATGTCTGTTTTTGGCTGAGTGAAGCCTCCACAGCGGCTCAGGTCTTGCTTTTCATTCCCACTCTCCTCAGGTTAAAACAGACACAGGGTCAGATCCGCACGCTCGAGGACCTTGCACATGCTCAGGGATACTCTTTCACATAACATTGCACATTGAGTTCTTGCTGGGTACTGACCTGTCCCAGGCATTGGAGACTCACTGCTCACTCTGTCCAACAGACACCTAGACCAACAAATCTCATGCATATTCAATCAGTATGTATGGTGGTAAGCTCTTGCTCCAGCGAGGCCACTAAACCCAAGAACCTGCCTAAGCAGACTCTCCGAAGCCTGCTAAGGTGAACAACCAAAAGCCCCATAGGAAAATTACCCTGAAGTCACTTGAGGCTGTGCCCTCCTGGCATAATCGGAAGGGCTCTGTATTGCTCCAGTGGCTCTGATAGGGGTGAGCGGAAGCAAGCGTGGCTCACGGCAGAGCTGCACGGCACAGCCAGAGGTCTCCCTCAGCAACAGGCTGCCAGACCTGGCCGGTTGCAGCCTGCCTGTGTGATTGTGCTTGGGTGCAGAGCTGGGTCATAGGAAAGCAGCACCACTGTCTTCTGTCAGAGCACCGGATCCAGGAAATGTTTTGGCATGATTTCTTGGCCCAAGCTGATTGCTCACAAGATAGAAAACACCTGGATTTATGAATGCGAGCCAGACTCCGAGAGCAGACAGAGTGCCAAGTACTGAGGATTAGGGTTTGGCACTGTGGGTCATGACACTAAATCCATACCTGAGGTATGTGTATGTAATCATTTCACATTCCTTTCCCTTCCTAAGTCATTGGCTCAGGTGCTCACTGTGCCCTTCCAGTCCATGTAGGAAACTATTCAGCTGTGGAGGACAAAGTTACTCCAGCACCTGCCCAAGTGAGACATTTATCTGTTCACTAGCAGGTGTGCAGATGGGCAGGCACATTTGTGTGTATGCATGCATACACATCACAAGTATATACATAATTCCTCTATCGTAGAAATAACGGTGGCATACTTATTACATAGTGTGTTGTTTTATTAATGTATTTATGTAGTTTGGAAATATTTTTATTTATTAGAGAAAAATTAGAAAGTAATAAATTTCTTATTGTTATTGCAGAAATGGCCTTTCTGCCATACAGATAAACATGACAACTATTTCAAGGCTCTTTCCCAGGCTTTTTTTCACAGATCTATATAAAGGTAGACAGATACAACTGTGATAATATAAACAACTTCTGGTTTATGATTTTTCACTTGACTTTAGAGCCTAAGCATTTCTACACACTGAAACCTTTTTATGGATCTCATATCCAGTGGCTGCTGGTGCTATGATTAAATACCAGTAATAATGGGCTGGAGAGATAGATGGCTCAGAGGTTAAGAGCACTAACTGCTCTTCCAGAGGTCCTGAGTTCAATTCCCAGCAACCACACGGTGGCTCACAACCACCTGTAATGAGATCTGGTGCCCTCCTCTGTCATGCAGGTGCATATGCAGCCAGAACACTGTACACTTAACGGATAAACTTTAAAAAGCAAAAGCAAAAGCAAAAGCCAGTAGTGGGACAGGGAGTGTAGCCCTGCTCAGAGGCCCACAGCGCTCGGCCGCAGCGCCCGGCCACCCTGCTGTAGCTGCCACAGGCTCCTGAAGGGTGGAGCTGCGCAGGCGCCTGCAGTTCCGCTGGGTCTGCAGCTGTCTTCAGCACAGCTGCAGCATCACTGCTGTGCACTCTGCACTATTGCACCATCTCCCCGCAGTTGCGAGAGAAGCAAGCCTATGTGGAGAAGGTCGAGAAGCTGCAGCAGGCTCTGAGCCAGCTGCAGTCTGCGTGTGAGAAGCGAGAGCAGATGGAGCGCAGGCTGCGGACTTGGCTGGAGAGGGAGCTGGATGCTCTGAGGACACAGCAGGTGAGCGAGTGTCTGGCTGAGGGGCTAGTGACAGATTCAGATTGCAGCCCTTTGAGGGCCAGCCAATGGACTCCGTGCACCTGCACGGCCTCCAGAGAGACTGGGGTCTCTAAGTTGAGGCTGGAAAGAGGGGCTGTACTTTAGGTGGCCTTACACGGGGACGTTGATTTGATGGGCATGCAAGATAAGACTCAGAGGCAGAGGAGGTGGGCATGTAAAGGACAGGGCCTTGGAAGGGTTGCAAGGCCAGGGCAGTGGATTCAGCTCTGGAGGGGGTATCTGTGAGAGGGTGCCCCCCTGTGGAAGGTGATTGGGCGGATGGGAAGAATGCCTTTTCCTGTGCCAGTGGAGAGCCAGCCCCCCGCCCCCCGCACTTGGGAGATGTTCAGGTTAGGAAGCCTGTGGTGGTCAGGGAAGAGCCCCTAACAGGGCTAGTGGTGAAAGTCGGGGTTTCCCAGGAGGAGCTGCAGGGAAAGGTGAGTAGAAGTCACACTGGTCAACCCAGTTCACTAGAGGACGGCGTTCAGGGCTCCCTGTCGTGAGACTGGCCATAAACTACAGCTCTTCCTACATCTGCTCAGCTGGTGATGTGTGGTCATAGAGCTCAGCTGTGAGGAAACACAGAGAGGAACATGCCAGCCCAGGGTCCATACATGTCTCAGCAAAGAGAATTCCAGCAGGAAATGCCGTTTCAGACAAGCCAGAAGCTCCTGCCTCAGATGTGCTGAGCTTGCCTGGGATATGGGCTGGTTTTGTGTCAACTTGACACAAGCTGGAAGGAGCCTCAGTTTAGAAAATTCCTCCATGAGATCTAGCTTTAAGGCATTTTCTCAATTAGCATTTGACGGGGAAGGGTGCAGCCCATGGTGGGTGTTCTATAGAGAAATGTGGGCACTAGATGAAACAGCGGGACAGCGGAGGCTGGGATGCACTGGACTCATGTGGTCCCTGTGGAGAGCGGAGGCTGGGATGCACTGAACTCAGGTGGTCCCTGTGGAGAGCGGAGGCTGGGATGCACTGAACTCATGTGGTCCCTGTGGAGAGGGGAGGCTGGGATGCACTGGACTCATGTGGTCCCTGTGGAGAGCGGAGGCTGGGATGCACTGAACTCAGGTGGTCCCTGTGGGGAGGGGAGGCTGGGATGCACTGGACTCATGTGGTCCCTGTGGAGAGCGGAGGCTGGGATGCACTGGACTCATGTGGTCCCTGTGGAGAGCGGAGGCTGGGATGCACTGGACTCATGTGGTCCCTGTGGAGAGCAGAGGCTGGGATGCACTGGACTCATGTGGTCCCTGTGGAGAGCGGAGGCTGGGATGCACTGGACTCATGTGGTCCCTGTGGGGAGGGGAGGCTGGGATGCACTGGACTCATGTGGTCCCTGTGGGGAGGGGAGGCTGGGATGCACTGGACTCAGGTGGTCCCTGTGGAGAGGGGAGGCTGGGATGCACTGGACTCATGTGGTCCCTGTGGAGAGCAGAGGCTGGGATGCACTGAACTCATGTGGTCCCTGTGGAGAGGGGAGGCTGGGATGCACTGGACTCATGTGGTCCCTGTGGAGAGCGGAGGCTGGGATGCACTGGACTCATGTGGTCCCTGTGGAGAGGGGAGGGTGGGATGCACTGAACTCAGGTGGTCCCTGTGGAGAGGGGGAGGCTGGGATGCACTGGACTCATGTGGTCCCTGTGGAGAGCGGAGGCTGGGATGCACTGAACTCAGGTGGTCCCTGTGGAGAGCGGAGGCTGGGATGCACTGGACTCATGTGGTCCCTGTGGAGAGCAGAGGCTGGGATGCACTGGACTCATGTGATCCCTGTGTAGAGCGGAGGCTGGGATGCACTGGACTCATGTGGTCCCTGTGGAGAGGGGAGGCTGGGATGCACTGGACTCAGGTGGTCCCTGTGGAGAGCGGAGGCTGGGATGCACTGAACTCATGTGGTCCCTGTGGAGAGGGGAGGCTGGGATGCACTGGACTCATGTGGTCCCTGTGGAGGGGGGAGGCTGGGATGCACTGGACTCATGTGGTCCCTGTGGAGAGCAGAGGCTGGGATGCACTGGACTCATGTGGTCCCTGTGGAGAGCGGAGGCTGGGATGCACTGAACTCATGTGATCCCTGTGGAGAGCGGAGGCTGGGATGCACTGGACTCATGTGGTCCCTGTGGAGAGGGGAGGGTGGGATGCACTGAACTCAGGTGGTCCCTGTGGAGAGGGGAGGCTGGGATGCACTGGACTCATGTGGTCCCTGTGGAGAGCGGAGGCTGGGATGCACTGAACTCAGGTGGTCCCTGTGGAGAGCGGAGGCTGGGATGCACTGGACTCATGTGGTCCCTGTGGAGAGCAGAGGCTGGGATGCACTGGACTCATGTGGTCCCTGTGGAGAGGGGAGGCTGGGATGCACTGGACTCATGTGGTCCCTGTGGAGAGGGGAGGCTGGGATGCACTGGACTCATGTGGTCCCTGTGGAGAGGGGAGGCTGGGATGCACTGGACTCATGTGGTCCCTGTGGAGAGGGGAGGCTGGGATGCACTGAACTCATGTGGTCCCTGTGGAGAGGGGAGGCTGGGATGCACTGGACTCATGTGGTCCCTGTGGAGGGGGGAGGCTGGGATGCACTGGACTCATGTGGTCCCTGTGGAGAGCAGAGGCTGGGATGCACTGAACTCAGGTGGTCCCTGTGTAGAGCGGAGGCTGGGATGCACTGGACTCATGTGGTCCCTGTGGAGAGCGGAGGCTGGGATGCACTGGACTCATGTGGTCCCTGTGGAGAGGGGAGGCTGGGATGCACTGGACTCATGTGGTCCCTGTGGAGAGCAGAGGCTGGGATGCACTGAACTCATGTGGTCCCTGTGGAGAGCGGAGGCTGGGATGCACTGAACTCATGTGATCCCTGTGGAGAGCGGAGGCTGGGATGCACTGGACTCATGTGGTCCCTGTGGAGAGGGGAGGCTGGGATGCACTGAACTCAGGTGGTCCCTGTGGAGAGGGGGAGCATGGGCCTGGCCGATACTGATGTGCAGACAGTGTAGAATTGAAGAACCGAGTATCTCTCCAGGTTAGTGACAGGCCAGGTTGGTGTGATGCCTCTTGTGGCCCATTTGGAGCATCATAGTGATGTATTATTTCTCCAGAAACATGGAAATGGCCAGCCAGCCAGTCTCCCAGAATACAACGCCCCTGCCCTCTTGGAACTCGTACGGGAGAAGGAGGAGCGGATTCTAGCCTTGGAGGCAGACATGACCAAGTGGGAGCAGAAATACCTGGAAGAAAGCACCATCCGGCATTTTGCCATGAGTGCTGCAGCTGCGGTCACGGCTGAGAGGTGAGAGGTTAGGCCCGTGGTTCAGGACTGCAGGCACACGGGGCTGGGAACAGAGCTGACAACGGAAGCCTGAAGCTCAGAAGGCTGTGCCAGAAGGATGAGGGGTGCCAGGACAGCCTGGGCTAGAGTTAAACTTCATCTCAAAAGCAAATGAAAACTTCAGGAGTTCCGAGGAGGCCAAGAGAGGCCTATTGCAGGGAGCAAAATCCACCAATTTTTTTTTAATTTTGTAAACTTTATTATTTAAAAAAAAAAAAACTTGCAAATGAAAACATCACACAGAACAATTAACCAGACCCAAAGCCCATACAGCTCCGGGAACTTCTGTATAATTAGAATTGGTTTTCAGGATGGAAAGCTGTGGGGCTTTGATACTAGATTTTACACTTTCAGTATCAAATATATTTTCTATACACCACCACCCAAACCAAAAAAAAAAAAAAAAAAAAAAAACCCATGACAGGATTAAAGGTAGGAAAGCTCATAGCTTATATCCTCTTTCCTGACTCATGTCCATTTCTTAAACACTGTGTGTGTGTGTGTGTGTTGTCTGTGTGTGTGTGTGTGTGTTGTCTGTATGTGTGTGTTGTCTCTCTGTGTGTGTGGTGTATGTGTAAATGTGCTCACACACATGCCATGGAACATGTAGGAGTTGATATCAGAGAGCGACATTGGTCCTCACCTGCCTTGATTGACACACGGTCTCTCCACAGTTTTCCGTGGAGTACACTGGTCCAGCTGACCCCAGAGTTTTCAGGGAGTCTCCCATCTCTGCCTCTCACCTCCTGGTGGGGACCTGCTGCAATTACATGTGCTACAAGCCAAGACTAACATGGGTTCTGGGGGTTCAAACTCAGGGCATGCTTGCGTGGCAATCCCTGAGGCATCTGCCCAGCCCACGGCACATTTTAAAGCTGTAGTATTTCTTGAAGACACAAAAGTTCTGGTAGATACTGAGTTCCACTCCCCTTGCCCAAACTCCAGCTCCAGGGCATCCTACGCCCTCTGCTGGCATCTGTGGACACATACACCATGTGTCTATGTGTGTGCTCATGCAAGTGTGCACACACATATAGATGAAAACAAAATAAATCCTACAAAAGCATGACCAAAAAACAAAAAACCCCATTTGTTCATTGCGCCGTGGCTTTCCTGATGACACAAAGAAAAGGACCACACAGCCTACTTAGGGAAAGACTGGAATCCGAGCGCCCATCCCCATGCTGATTGGCTGCAGACAATGGGCATTAAGTGGCTGTTTGCAGCCCTTAAGCCCTGACTTCTCTATCAGTGTCCCATTTGTAAGCACTGATTTTTAAACAAACGATATGGTCTTTATGCACCAACTGTTTTTGATGCAAATTCTTTCCGTGGGGGAAGTGTAAACAGCATCCAGCATCCACCCCTCCTCAGAAGGTTCCATGAGTAGACCAGAGCACCCCACCAAGGCCACCCTGGAGAACCTATGAGTTTATTGGGCTCGTTTATAAGGAGGGAGGGGTTAGTGGCAGGGGCTTAGGGGACCCCAAAGTAGCTGCACTGGAAAACCTTCACCTGCTGCGGGTGATGGCTTCCCCAGAGGGTACACAGTTGCAGCTCCCATCCCCTCCCATATCCTCAGCCCTTCCCAAGGCCCTGGGCCATGTGTGGTCAGGGCAGAGCTGCAGACACTGTTTAGGAAGAGTGGTATTTGGTTGCAGATCTCATGGCCCTCCCCGCCCCTCCCTTCTTTGGGGACCATCAACCAGCCTTTCTGACGTGGGAGAAGGGAGAGCTTTACAAGTAGACAAGCTGGCCTTATGAAAGCGGCAGTTGTTTACACGGGCCTTTATTTATCTTGATGGCATTGGCTACAATTATGGAGAGGAGGTTTTTTTTTGGTTTTGTTTTGTTTTAATGTGTGGGCGAGGTCTTAAAACTTCAGGAATTTCAAAGCAAGGTAGTGTTCCTTCAGGATTTTACGGACACTTGCTATCGGTATTGGTTTTTGACCACTGTGCCTGCTGGCTTACTCTGCAGCATAAACATGAATTTTTAAATTTGCCTCTGGCGCCACAAGACTATTTCTCAAAGTAACTTGACGGGAAATGTTCTAGCTCCTAGTCCCTGTGCAGCTGTTTCTGTGAACTCGGGGGTGTTTATAATTCTGTGTGGTGGTTCAAAGTGTTCTGCCTGCTTTCTCCATGATTTGCCTCTCTGATCTATTCACAGCGGCCATGTTTACTGTTCTGAGCCATGTTCTCACCAAGGCCCTTGTGTGTGTTTGTTTTATCACAGTGCATCTTTGCTGAGACCTTCTTCCCAAATACAAATGAAACTTGGGACCATGCTGGGCACGGCTAAGGGCTCTGGGCTTGGGTCCCTTTCCATCGTCCCTTTCCATCACAGCACTCACAGTGTCCTAGCGGTCACTCCATCCTAGCTTCACCGTCTGCGGACACACCGTAAGAGTGGACGCCATGTGTCCTATGCTCTGCTGTCCCTGCGTGAAATAAGTGCTCGCTCGTTGGCAGCTGTCATCAGGAAGGGTAAAGGGCCTATGTATTGAGTAGCTACCAAAGTCCCATGCAAAACAAAATACACGGGTGATACAGAGGCAGAGCTTCAGCTCTGATTAGCAGAGTGAGCTAGGATGCGCGTGGAGAGTAAGTGACGGCCTCCATGTGTAAGCAGAACAAATCGCTAGGCACCCTTCCACACACGCATAACATCAACTGAGCTTAGCAAGCAGCCTTGAGAAGGGGGATTTTTATTGCTGAATATTGCTTTCCTGAGACATTGTCTTTTTTGTTTATGACATGATTTCATGTGAGTGAAAACAATACTTTTATTTATTTATTGTGTAATAGCCCTGGCTGTCCTGGCACTCTCTCTGCAGAACAGGCTGGCCTGGACCTGGCAGACATCCTCCTGCCTCTGCCTCCCGAGTGCTGAAATTAAAGGCGTGCGCCACCATGCCTGACTTGAGTATAATGCATTGTAATTTTATCCATCCCTCAGCATCTCCAACTCCTCCCAGGACCCTCTCCATACCCCTCTATCAAACTCAAGTCCTCTTCTTCTGCACACACACACCTCCTGAGTCTAATTAGTGTTGCCTGTATACACATGTACTGTATAAGATGACCATTGGGACTTAGACAACCCAGCAGGAAATTTGTACCTAAAGAAAATGGACTCCGTCAGCAGCCATTGACTCTTGCCCATGCACTCTGGAACGCTGACTAGCATGGCCTTGTGCTGGACTTCCGCAGGCAGCCATAATGCTGGAGAGTCCATGGGGGCCCCTTCCCTGACGCCCAGAAGTGAGTGTTTCACAGCAACTCTCCAAGTCCTCCAGCTCCCTCCATCTCCCTGCCCCCTCCCCTTGATCCCCGGGTGTAGGGCATGCGTGACAGATGTCCCATTTGGAGATGAGCAATCTGTGGTCAGTTTCTCTGTACTTTGGCCCATTGTGGACCTGTAGACACCTTCCTGCTGCAGACAGCGGCGTCTTTGATGAGGGCTAGAGGTACAGTAATCACAGTCTGTGCGCGCAGCCCTTGGATGGTGTCTTCATCCTTCGGGACAGCCTGGCAGAGGGCTCTTCTGGGACGCTGTCCCTTTACTCCCTTTTCTTGAACTGTCTGCAGCACGCTCCATTCTGGCCCCTATGGAGACTGACCCCCAAGGTGGGGTGGTGGGGGTAGAGGGCCTTCAGTGTCCTCTAGAAGGTGAAGCACACATCTGTTACGGAGCAAACCTCACTCTCTCCATTCTGAGTGTGTGTGTGTAGGCCACCAAAGGGCCTGAGAGTCAAAGCGTGTCTCGTGTTCCCAGGGACACCACCATCATCAACCACTCGAGGAATGGCAGCTATGGCGAGAGCTTGCTGGAGGCCCACATCTGGCCAGAGGAAGAGGAGGTGGTACAGGCTAACCGGAGGTGTCAGGACATGGAGTACACGTAAGCACAGCCATGTGTGGCCTCCAGGTCCAGGGAGACAGCAGCTGCTGTTACACCTCACCCAGATCCCCCGACACACTGTGCTCTGTCTGACTGGCGAGGAGAGAAGGAGGCGCTCCACACAATTCTGTAGGGAGACAGTGAGGACCGGAGCCGTGCAGTAACCGAAGCCCTTTCATGTCCCTATTAGTTCTGGTCATTTGTGTCCATAATCTATCTCCACAGCTCTGTGAGCTGAGAATGAGGAAGAAATCCCACCCCAAGGTCCAGAGATGTGGAGCCAGAACCACCTATTCCCACTAAAGCTTTAAGCGGCCAGTGTGTGCTCTGAGGAACACACAGTTTCCAGCCGTGGTTGTGATGTTACCAGGACCCCTGTGGACCCCAATCCTGAGTCCACATGTGCTAAAGTGAAAGCAGGGTTTCCTGACAGCCGGAAACAGGCTCAAGACTTACTGCTCATCACCAGCCACCGGTGGGGGAGAGTCATCTTAGCTCCCAGAGCCCAGCCGTTCCTCTCCTCCTTCCTCTTCCTCTTCCTCTTCCTCCTCTTCCTCTTCCTCTTCTTCCTCTCCTCCTCCTTCTTCCTCTTCCTCTTCCTTCCTCTCCTCCTTCCTCTTCCTCTTCCTCTTCCTCTTCCTCTTCTTCCTCTCCTCCTCCTTCTTCCTCTTCCTCTTCCTTCCTCTCCTCCTCCTTCTTCCTCTTCCTCCCTCTTCTTCCTCTCCTCCTCCTTCTTCCTCTTCCTCTTCCTCTTCTCCTCCTCCTTCCTCTTCTTCCTCCTCTTCCTCCTTCCTCTCCTCCTCCTTCCTCTCCTCCTTCCTCTTCCTCTTCCTCTTCCTTCCTCTTCTTCCTCTCCTCCTCCTTCTTCCTCTTCCTCTCCTCCTCCTTCCTCTCCTCCTTCCTCCCTCTTCTTCCTCTCCTCCTCCTTCTCCCTCTTCCTCCCTCTTCTTCCTCTCCTCCTCCTTCTTCCTCTTCCTCCCTCTTCTTCCTCTTCTCCTCCTTCCTCTCCTCCTTCCTCCCTCTTCTTCCTCTCCTCCTCCTTCTTCCTCTTCCTCTTCCTCTTCCTCTTCTTCTCCTCCTCCTTCCTCTTCTTCCTCCTCTTCCTCCTTCTTCCTCTTCCTCTTCCTCTTCTCCTCCTCCTTCCTCTTCCTTCCTCTTCTTCCTCTCCTCCTCCTTCTTCCTCTTCCTCTCCTCCTTCTCTCTTCTGTAGAAATGTTTGCGCAGTTACAGCTTACCTTATCTCAGGCCAGAGCTTCTGTGCTCCCCTGGTGTTCCTACCTCCATCCTCCCCCCCCCCCAAATGTGATCCACAAGCAGCCTAGTCTCACAGTCCCCCAAGGAGCCCCCAGTCTCCCACTGCTTTGACCTCCTGTGGAGGGCACAGCTTGCAGACTGCCAATAATGATGGACAGGTCTGCCCCACCCAACCCTGTAATCCCACAATTGCTGTGCAAGCCCCTGAGACAAGGGTTCCAGAGTTTTCTAGCTAAATGACATTTTAGTGATACTTATTTCTTCTCTGGTTTGGTTTTACAGTATTAAAAACCTCCACGCCAAAATCATAGAGAAGGACGCCATGATAAAGGTCCTTCAGCAACGATCCCGTAAGGATGCTGGGAAGGCGGATTCTTCCAGCCTGCGTCCCGCCCGCTCTGTCCCATCCATTGCTGCAGCCACCGGGACACATTCCCGGCAGACGTCACTTACCAGCAGCCAGCTGATGGAAGAGAAGGAGGAGGAGAAGGTCTGGAAGGGGAGCATCGGTGAGAGCTGAGCAGGGCAGCGCTGAGCCACCTCTGCAGCCCCCAACCTCGTCTCAGTTTCAAGGCTCTTCGGTGGGGAGGAGAGCCAGCCATGTTGCATTGTGAGAGCGGAACGAGGGTTGCGAGCTCTTGAGCTTGTGTTGATTCTTGTCAGTGTTGTTGACAGGAAGAACAGGAAATGTCTTAGCGGGGACAGACCTAGAACCCCCTCTGACTTAGTTAGGTTTCTGTTGCCGTGAAGAGACAGCATGACCTGACCAAGGCCAGTTCTTATGAGAAAGCATTTAATCGGGGTGGCTCGCTTACAGTTTCAGGGGTCCGGTCCACTATCCTCATGGCAGGGAGCATGGCGGCGTGCAGGCAGATGTGCTGGACCGTGCTACATCTTGCAGGCAACAGGAAATGACTGAGATTCAGGGCAGATTCCTGTGTATAAGAAACCTCCAGGCCTGTCCCCACAGTGACAAACTTTCTTCAACAAGGCCACACCCACTCCTACAAAGCCACGCCTCCCAATAGTGCTGCCCCCTGAGAGCTTATGGGGGCCAATGTCACTCAAACCGCCACCCCCTCCTGGGCCAAGTCCGCACGGCTCCGAGGTGTGTCTACACCTGGGACATGACAAGATTGGGGAACTGTGCCCAGAGAGTCACCCTCAGGGATTCTCTGGGCAGGAGTGGGTCTCAGCTGAGTGCTCCCCTAGGGTAGACAGGCTTCTTCACAGGCTGGGCCCGGGAGCTTGGAGAGGAAGCTCCCAAGTCCTCTGCCCCTTCCTCTGCTTGCTGATGACTCCAGGAGACTGGGCCTTCTTTAAAGCCTGTCCCTGGCTCAGCACATCCTTTCTCCGCTCCGCCCACAGTCAGATTTCTCGTTTACTGATTTGTCCTACGGTGTAGGAGAACTTCCTATGAATCCACAGAGCTGGGGGCGGGGGTCAAAAACCTCAGACGGCGGCGCATCTGTTTGAAATCCCTCTACTGGTGGCCCCTACAACCTCAGCTCATCCTAGAGGATTCGTGGGGACAGCAATTATGATAAAGCCTATCCCAGGGGCACTTAGCCTAGTAAGAGGCAGATCTGATTCAGGAGTCTGAAATTGTTCAGTTCTGTTGGAGATTTCCCTAAGAGAAATCTGTGCGGCATGCATCCAGATGCCCATCGCCAGTGCCTGGGCGTATGTCTCAACCTTTACCAGGTGGGCACAAAGCCTGAGAGTTAGACACCCTGGCCTGCATCAGTGTTCATCCCTGTCAGTGTGATTAGTGCCCACACGGTCACAGAAAGGGGAGGGACTCTGAGGCTCAGGTGGAGGCCAGCTTCACAGGCTCCTACACGGGGCCTCAGGTTTTTCCACCTTGTGCCAAGAGGTGATGGAGATGGCGGTCTCCATACGTTCCTGGTGCTGAGCGGCTCCCAGGAGAGATTGGTCCATGTCACCTGCAGATGGCTGTGTCTGAGTCTGGGCAGTGACGAGATGGGATTCAGGTTGGCCAGGGTCTTTTTACCCTCTGAGCCTGCCCCACCAGTCCAGATGTGGTTTTTAGCGGTGTGAATTGAGAATACAAATAGGGACTCCAAAAAGCATTTACTTGCATGGGACTCGGGGCTGTTTCTCGTTGCATCAAGCGTGCACGCAAGCACTTATTCAGTGTGTACTGAATAAACCGTGGAATACGTGAAGGCGTCCCCAGTCTGCAAGGAAAAAGGTAAGATTCCTTACAAAGGGAAATGGGAGAAACAGATGGTCCCTGAAAAGCCCCCTCCCCTTTCAGGGTTGCTGCAGGGGAAGGAGCATCAGGGACAGGCGTCTGCGCCTCTGCTGCCGACCACACCCGCCGCGGCACTGTGTCCAGCTTCCACGGCGGCCAGCAGCGCCCACGCCAAGACAGGTAGCAAGGAGAGCAGCACACAGACGGACAGGAGCGTGGAGCTCTTCTGGCCCAGCAGCGTGGCTTCCCTGCCCGGCAGAGGCAGGCTGAGCACTGGCCCTCACAGCAGCCCCGTCCTGAAGCATCCAGCTGCCAAGGGACCCATGGAGAAACCCGGTATGTGGCCCCTACCTCTACACGCGGGGAGGCCCCGCGCCACCCTCTTCGAGTCCCTGTGTGACTTGAGGGAGGGAATCTATAGTGGGTCTGTAGAGGCCAGGACGCCCGGCCCAGGCGGGTCCCGTGTGTCAGCAGTGGCCGTCACAGTGACTCTCGGAGTGTGTGTACTCTTGAATGTTGTGGGACTTAAGTATGGCTAGATATGCTTAGTTCATTACGGGAGGAGGGTCACCCTGCTCGAGTGGCCTGGTGACGAGTGTTTACCCTTCCCCGGGGGAGGGGGTTACTGTGGGCTCCTGGTTTGGGGGGGACAGTCCACTGTAGTAGGCACAGCACGGTGGGACTGTGGAGTGTGAGGCCGCTTGTTCACATCACAGACAGGAAACGGGAATTTGGGTCTTTGACAGCTTCCTTAATTCTCACTCAGTCCGGAACCCTGAGACACTGTCTTCCCTGAGAGCCCCACTACGATCTTCCCAGCCTCCCATGAGTACACCCCGGTGCAAGAGACTCCTGGGCAGGCCGTGACATTAGAAAAGCTTGGAAACCCCAGGCTCACGGTCGCTGATGTTTGCCCCCTGTTCGGCAGAGAGCTCTCCTGGCCACGGGAAGTCGGCAGACCACAGAGGCCGCGTCAGCAGCTTGTTACACAAACCCGAGTTCCCGGAGGGGGAGATGATGGAAGTGCTCATCTAGACCTCGTCCTGGAGCGTTTCACAGCGGATGCTGCAAAACCGGGACAGGTGTGGACACTTGGTAACGTCACAAGACCGCAGAGGGAGGGAGAGAAGATGCACGCAGGCTTGGAAGCGGAGTTGAGAAGAATAGGAGGGGACTGTCCATGGTAGAGAAATTGTATGTCTGGGGAGGCTCCACGCTTCCCCGTTCTCATAAACAGATGAAGAAGAATTGGGCCTTCCTTGGAGTCACCCATTCCCTCTGCCTCATAGCAGGTTTGGTGTAAGAAGAATCTGCTAGAAATCCTGAAAATCCATCTTGGCATAATGTAGTATTTCTGTGTCATCTTGGGGTTGTGCACGAACCCGTGTGTGTGTGTGTGTGTGTGTGTGTGTGTGTGTGTGTGTGTGTGCGTGCGCGTGCGCATGCGTGCCCATACACCTGCCCTTCTAAGATACATCCAAGGTAATGGGGAACTCTACAGGCAAGCTTTGTCACCCGCTTCCCTGCTGGGTTGTGGTCTCAGTGTGAGGCTTTGCTCTCTGGCTTGAGTGGTGTCTTGTGACAGGGTGGGAGTGTGGTCCACGCCCTTGCTCTGCTCTCCTTGCTTTATTTTGTTGTTGATGATGTTCCTTTGTTTTGTTTCTGTTTACTGAGATGCAGCAGACCTCCTCACATGTGGGACTTAGGAGACTGCCACCTTTGCTGTGGTGACCAGTGGATGAGGAGCAGGGGCCCTTGAGTCACGGATTTGATTTTCACTCCATCCACTCTCTTGCAAGGAACCGGACAGTTACACCCGCATTGCCCAGTTAGGACGACTTCAGTAAGACAGGTGCACAGGCGCTCGATGGTGGCTTACACACAGCTCTCCGGGTAGCATCCGAGGCCTCACCAGGCCTCCTGGGCCACTTTAAACTTGAGGCTTTGGGGTATTTTCATTGTTCCCCTGTCCCATCCTACCCTGGCTGTTGTGGGTGAGCAGCTTCCATGATCACTTTTTCTTTGCTGGGAACTTGCTTTGTAGCCCGAGGTTGGTAGATACACGGTGTGGCCAGTGTCTCACAAGGGATACAGCTTCCTCGGAGTGAGGCAGCGATGTCCCGGAAGTGAGCCACCTTGAGCGAGGGGTCAGGGCGCTGAGGCTCTGCTGCAGCAAGGTCTCGTGTGCATTGCGTGGACACTGGCGTCCTGCAGAGCACCGGAGAAGCTGCCCAGGCACAGATGGCCCTTCCGGCTCTCGAACTATCCCCAGCTCAGTAGGATTCGTTTTCCAGGTCCCTATCCCTCAAGGGGAAGAGGAAAGCAGTAAGTCTACAACTTCTTAAAGTTTCTTAAGTGCAAGATGACACCTCTTGGGGACTTCTGCTTGGGTCATTTGTTCCAGGACTTGTCCCCAGGGTAAACCCTGGGTGAAATTATGGCCTCCCGGGTTGAGGGCATAGATTGCAAGACGGGTAACCTGGAGATCAGAACAGATGAGAGGAACGGGAGGGGAGGGAAGGGGAGGGAAGAGGGGGGAGGAGACAGCTTAGGAGACCTTGCCAGCTGAGAAGAGCTGGAGGATGGATGCAGGTGGGGGTGGGCGCCATTGTGGATAGAGCACGGAGTTCACTAACTCTCTTAAGAGCATATTGTTTCCAATTAACGTTGGGGACAATCCAGAAAGGGAAGTGTTTAGGCGTGGGAAATTAGTGAGGTCTTCCAGCCCTGTGCCATGTCTAAGCACCCCCAAACTTAGGCTGTGTCCCTGCGTGGGGGTGAAGCACTGCCCAGCTCACTCAAAGTGTAGTCTGCGTGTTCCAGACACATTACACGCCCCCTGCTCCGGCCCTCACGAACTGCCATGATTTCAAAACACAGAGGGGACTGCCGTGATTTCATTTGTCAAAACACAGAGGGGACGTGGACAGTTAGCGGCTTTAACTGCATGTGTACTGTGGCTTTTTGTCCGAGACACAAGCATATGGCTTCAAGCCAAGACCTTCAGGCTTCCTTCATGTCATTATCTTGAGACATACAGGGCAAAGGAGCTTAGCACTCAGCAGCCACTCTGAGCTCTGGGGAGCTTGCGGGATCTGCTGATGGCGGGCAAGGACTAGAGAAAGTGCCTGTTAGCCGGTCCTTAAAGCACCAGTGAGCGCGGCCAGGCTGGCTCTGCTGGTTGTGCGCACAGATGCTGGAACTGAGCCCAAGAGGCTTACGGCCAATGCTGGGCCTCACAGATTCAGAAGAGGGGTCTCGACCACAGGTTACAGAGGATGCGCAGAGCATGCCTGGCACTCTGTGTCCCCATTGCCAATACTTGTGTGCGCACAGGGAAGCTGCCGCACATCCTGGGACCTGAGAACAGGACTAAGCCCAAACTTGTAACTACCAAACCGCCACTACCATCCTCAGTCGGGGATGGGAGTCTTCGTGTTCTGTTAAAAGCACAACTACAACCCAGATTTAAAAAAAAAAAAAAAAAAAAAAAAAAAGTCCTTCCTCACAGAGCCGAGGTCTAGTCTTCAGGGCTCCCGGGACATTTGCTCATAGAACCTGAGGCTCTTGTGTCAGGGTGAAGGGTAAAGGCGGTGGCTTTTAGTGATGACTTCGCCAGCATCTCACTGTCCCTGAGTGGGCTGTGTGGGGATGTCTGCATGCCTCCAGGAATCCCAGGAGAGGCGCTGGTCAGGTCTCCGCCACTGTGGTTTCATTAAGTAGAGTGTGTATGTCTGTACGTAAGAGCGCCTCCTGTCTGGAGGTTCCTAGCTCAAAGCTGCCAGGAAAAACACACGAATTTCCAAAGAATGAGAGACCAGCAACTGTAGTGTCCTCCAGGGCGGGGCTGCCATGTTCTGCCCCAGCTTTCCTTAGGGGTGGACGCTGGGACAGGTGTTGTTCAGTCCTGCAAAGGTCTCTCTTGGGAGACCATGCAGCTTGACCTTTTGCTTTGAGTGGTCTTTAAGAAAGTTGTTCCAAGTGAGTTCTGGCCTCAGAACAGAGGATGCAGTGGCTCTCCGGTGTCCCCTGCAGAGGCGAGATGTGTGTCCTGAAGGCATTCTTGTGCTGGGCATCTGCCACCCGCGCATATAAACATACTGGCTGAAGCCCCTCCTCCCGGGTGATGGTAACACATGGGCCGCAGAGAGCTGTGCTGTGGAGGAGGGTGCGTGCTCCAAGTGCATGGCCTCTCGTGACCCTGGAGTGCGTGCAGTGTTTCTCTGTGTGTTCACAGTGATCACACACCCCTTTAAGCAAAGGCGTCTTGTGGACATTGGAAGCAAGATCTGACAAATGTTCTTAAATGGTAAAGCCAGAAAGCAAACAAACAAACAAAACCAGTAACTTCCCTAAAAGCTGAGTCAGCCAGTTTCTAAGTATATATGTTGGCTTTCTTCTACTCTTCCTAATTAATTAGCATGTTCCAAATGTCTTTCCTTGATGTGAGGATTGCTTAGGCATTTGCTTGTGGGGTGGGCTGTGTAATGGCAGCCTCAGAAGCCAACCAGCAGGCCAGTAGTGGTTTCTTGTTTAGTAATGTAATGGTACATTACAATGTGTATATGTAAGTGCATTCATATGAGTGGACCTCCTTACTACCCAGAAGACCCCAGCGTTTGCCATGAGCTTTCTGCTTGGGAGGACTGCAGGGGCCCTCAGGTAAATCTGTTGCCAGCTCCTCCAGCAGAATGAGCTCCAGAGTCTGGCACATTCCTCTGATTCCCCGTGAGGTGAGAGGTCCTTGTCTATTGAGGATGGATTTAAGTTTTGGAAATAATCCCAAATTGTTCCCAGCAAAAGTGGATGAACACAGAGGGCAATTCATCAGAGTAAGAGTCCCAGGACCATCGAGATGACTCATAGAAAAGGCATGGCCACCACAGCCAAGACCTGAGTTTGATCCCCAGGACTCATGTGGTCGGAGGAGGGGCCCAGCTCCTGCAAGTGGTACACACACACACACACTCACACACTCATACACACACTCACACACTCATACACACACACTCACACACTCACACACTCACACACACACACTCACACACTCATACACACACACTCACACACTCATACACACACTCACACACATACACACACTCACACACTCATACACACACTCACACACTCATACACTCACACACTCACACACACACTCACACACTCATACACACACACTCACACACTCATACACTCACACACTCATACACACACACTCACACACATACACACACTCACACACATATATACTCACTCACACTACACACACACATACACACACTCATACCCACACTCACACACACATACACGCACTCACGCTCACACACACTCACACACACACTCACACACATACACTCACACACTCATACACACACACTCACACATACACACACTTACACACACATATATACTCACTCACACTACACACACATACACACACTCATACCCACACTCACACACACATACACGCACTTACACACACATACACACACACATACACACACTCACACACATACACTCACATACACTCACACACACACACTCTGTTTAGAAGAGTATCTAAGACATGTTGAAGAGTCATTAGTACAGATGACCTCTAGGACCTCGTTTCCAAGTCCGTTTTTCTTGCCAGTTCTCACATGCTTTCACCCCTTGCCTGTAGACCTAAGTACAGATTATATTCATTGTGAGCACCCTGTAGGTACTCTGTAAAGTGCAATTATACTTAAGTGCATGTTATTGTCCTGCGTGTTGTGGCTGAGGTGTATCCCCTGCGCTCCCTCTAAGGCAGTGTGTGTCCAGCAGTTTCTAGACTCAGTCTCCAGTTTTACCGCCTGTGTTGTGTTTACTTGTGACTTTGCCTGGGAGTCTGCCTCACATGCACACCTGTGAGTATTTATTACAAAGCAGGACGGGGCAGGCTTAGCCACAGTACTTGTATTTGGATGTTTTCTAGGAGGGATGGTGGCTCCTTCTCCTCAGTGAGGCGCACTGACAGACTATCAAATCCTATGAAACAGGGCCAACACAGGCCCAGCTTCGGCCTGGCT